AATCGGATAATTAAATATTGTAATCGAGTATATGCTTCAATTTTGCTATTTCAGGCATGCCCATGTAACTGGATTACAGAACGTGTTGAAAAGGTTAGGGGTGTGCATTGAGCGGCGGGTACAGTTCAGATGACAAATTTGTGAAACCAAGTGGTTTTGAACATCTAGGAATCTGGACCAAACCGATTAAAGAAAATGCAGAAAGAACAATAATTTGGTTCGGTTATTTCAATTTGGTTTGGATTAAACCGAAATTAGTTATATTTAAAATTTATTTGTATGATGCATATATATTATGCGGTTTTTATTATATAATTGATAAGCAATAAGAATTACTAAAAATAATAATTAGAAATATAATTAGTTATTTTCATGGCAGCTTGAATGGAGAAGACAGGCAGAACTAAAAATGTGACTTGTGAAATGTGTTTTATTACCATTCAATCGGATTTTAGGTTTTGCCAAAATTGTGATTCTCAAACCGATCCAAAACCCAGAAATCAAATATTTTACCAATCAAAACCGATATTTGAAATACTAACTTTAAAACTGAATCAAATTGTCCAAAAAAAAATGAAGAAATGTCTGTTCAAAACTTTCATAACCCAATAACACAAGTTCCAATCAAACCTGTTTTTGACTTGTGAAGTCATTTACATCCCATACTCGCAAAGAACCATCTTCAGAAGAAGTTAAGACAGTTTCCTTGGATTTGGGATTCCATTCTCCACCAGTCAAGCCAGAAATATGACCCTTGGTGTTCTTCAAGTCACGTATATACATATCTCCCTTAATGAACTCACCCAAAGTAAGTCCATCTCGATCATAAATCTGCAATTAATTTCCTGCTTATAGATGATTGATCGATGAAAATAAAAATAATTACAATCCAAAGATTAATACGAGCCAAATGTAGGCACCTTAGCTTGTGCTGAACCTGTTACACAAAGAAATCTGTCTGATGTGGGACTCCAACTTATGCTCCGAACCTGGTGTCCCTCGAAAGGTTCCAACTGTCTGAATGATTGTAACTTGGAAGTCATTCCTTGGAAATCATACATTCTTACAGTGTAGTCATAACTTCCAGAGAGCACTCTCGATCCAGAATGATCAATTGCGAGAGCTGAGACAATCTATAAACAATAAGAGAAATGTGAACCATCAAATGTTACGGAAATAAACAAGTTTTAAGAAAAATTTGAGTTTGGAGATATTGTCTTGTAAATGAACTAATAAATTTCCAGGCCACCAGCACTCTTCCCAGAACATGGATGTGGAAGAAATTTAATTTTGAAGCCTGGAAAAGGTAGAAATGAAAACAATTGAAGAAAAATGCATCATCAAACAATAATAAAATGTTATGATGTATAAACACTAAGCATGTAGCCTAGTGGTGTCGGCCTTTGCATCTCAAGGGGAAGACAAGGATTCAATATCTTCCAAGCTAAAAATGAATGAGATAGCCATAGAATATTATTAGTTTGTCATGTTTATGTTATGTTATGCTCAATTTCATGCATTAGAATATATTATAGTATTATCACCGTTATGACCCTCTTGCAAATAAAGAAGCTAGTACTCGTGATATAAGATGTGCTAAATGAATCATTATCATCATTAACCTCCTAACTCATTAGAGTCAGAATCTTCATTTTTCATTATTCTTGTTGCGTATTTTGCCTCAGGAGTTAAAATCTATTCTTTATAAAACATTTTAAACAACTCACATTCATTTTACCTTAGGTTCTATCTTGCTACCTCTAACCCTCCAACACTAATTTTACATGCCCGTCAAATAAAATATTAGAAAGATTTACATACAGACCACTCAATTCCTCTGTATTTACATATCTAACAGATAAAATTCAATTTTTAAATACATAATATGCATAAAATTGTGTATTTCACTTTTTAAAAGTTAAAATGGTGGTATTTTTATGTGATATGAAAGATTTGGGTGGCATAAATATAAAAACTAAATTATAGGCGTTAGATTTGTAAATACATAAGAATTGGGTAGTATGTATGTAAACGTTTCAAAAGATTATTGGCAAATGAAATTTAAGAAAAAAAAAAACTGTTCTCTCTTCATTGCGTAGTGCACCAGCTCTCTTGCCAATCCTACAATTAATGTTGCCGGCTTCCCTATTCTAGTTTGGTGCCAAGTACCTTCCCTCCACAACTAGTTGGTGCGGGTAATCATACACCAAAGGCAAACTTCAACTTCCTTTTTCCAGAAGAAATTTTCGAAGGAATGGTACCTCATTCATTCATGTCCCAACATCCTCTTTATTTTCTTTCTTGGCTTTAACTTGAGCTCTTTTGCTCCCCTATTTTTTGATCCTGCTATTTACATGTGATCACTTGGTATCAGAGTAGTAAAACACATTCAGAAGAAGGTCACTTCTTTCTCGCGAGTTTTTTCAAAGAAAAGGTACGTTATCAGTTCCCACAACGCCTTACACCACCAAGTCATTGCCGCGTCAATTAATTCTCGAAAGCAAAAAAAAGATTTATTTTATTGCTTATTGTTCTTATTTTTCACGAGTTCCATCCTACTTTACTGCTTGGATGTAACACCCAAGTCCCCTCCAAGTGTACCTATTACAATTACCCTCTACAACTTCATCTACCCATGCCAACTTTTCTTATTATGTGCTTTGCTTTATTCCTTTTGCAACAATCAAGCACTTAAGCAGTCCCTCGCCCCCTCACCACCAAACCCTTGCGTTAGTTGCATCATATTTGATTTTAGGGTTCCAATGTTTACACAAATGTTTGAAGAAAAAAAAACCCTACAAAATTTTTTCATGACCTTCCTACAATAAATGATGGAATTGCTACGAGGTGGTTTGTTGAGAACTGAGTTCGAGGATAACTTGGGCAAGTTATACATGAGCCAAGGGACAGAAGCATAAGAATTTTGTATTCGACTCTGCTTGTTAAATGAAATCCTAAAGCATCATTTATATAGTAATAAAAAAGAATCCAAACAATATATTTTAATATGTTTAAAAATTAATTTGAGATGGAAACATAGTGATGATCTCCATGGAGAAGAACCTGTGGTAGTGATAGCCTTGCATCAATTCACTCATGCTAAAAGAAACTCTCCTACAAAGAATTTGAAGATGCACATATCGTAGTTGATAAAGCAGAATAGAAACGAGTATGACAATTATAGTAAGAAACTATATGAAAGCAAAAGTGGATTTCGCTCTTAGCATTGCCAATCATCATGCGATTAAGCAAGATAAAATAAGAAGCACATAATATTCTTGCAATGAAAACATCGAACAAAGTCAACCTGAGTAATAAGTTATGAAATGGGCAATAACACGGCAATATGTGAAACAATCTGTATCTGAATCTGAATGTTTGAAAATAACAATTATTAAAGGCATTTCAAACTCATACTCAACATTAAATTCTAGTGTGATATCAAGTAGAGTTACAACATTATGCTATGATATCATCTTAAACTCAAGCTTAGGGCACATTTGGGGCAGCTTTAACTATTTGTACAAATAACTGTAAAGCTGTTATGGGAAGAACATTTTTTTAGAAACTCTTGTTAAGTATTATAAATGGTTTCGTTTTCAAAATGTCAAAGCAGCATTACCACACTAGCAAATCTAGTTGTAAAAAATAATTCATTACTGAAAAAAATTCTAAAAACAGCAAGAAAGTAATAGCTAAACATAAATGGGACAACCATTTGAAAAAGTAAAGCAATGAAAAAAACCTCAAAAAGACCCATAATTCTAAAAACAGCAAGAAAGTAATAGCTAAACATAAAAGGGACAACCATTTGAAAAAGTAAAATGGGTCAAAGTTTGGCTTAGATCTATAATAAAAATTCAAAATTGACAACAAACAGTCCTCACGGTGTCCAGTGATTCATGATCAAACAATGGCTTGTCCACGAAATAATCCAAATCAAACTAATCCAAAGAGTAAGAGTATCTAAAAAATGTTTACATGAAATTTCAAACAATGCATGAGGTCATCATGTGATCCACACTAATGGCATTTTTAACATAAATGGTATAGCTTGGGAAAGATGGTTCTTCATGATGTGTTTCAAACGAAGTATGACGTGATCAATAATAATTAGGGTGACTGAGATCATAAGTATCATGACAAGTATGAATAATATGAACTGGGGTACTATTTTGGCAATAATGTTTATTTCCAGACATACCATCATGTCAGTCTTTCACTACCAAGTCAACATGGTGTTATAGGAGAGCATTTGAATTGACCATAATATGGATAATGAGCATAAAAAATAAGAATCGAGATTATCATAAAGATCACCACCCTAATAAAATAAATTCATTTTGTTCGTTCTTCTACTTCGTGAGCACATCACATGGAAAAAATAGAGATGCAAAAATTTCATAGTAAAATAGAGGATGGAGTTGTAATTTCCTCTAATTATTGTTCAACATAAAGGAAGCTGGGTGGGGTTGACCATAAATAGGACCACTATTCGATTTAATATAATTTTATTTTGGATGATGAATTCGAAGTCTTTAGATATCGTAATTATTGCCATAGGTGAAGAGAATTCATGTTGTGAGTCTAATCATAACTGAGTTCAACATGTCATCAAGATCAGCTACCACTTATATTTTGGTTCACTTGGGGTTCACCTTGATATCAGGGCCAAGGTCAAGGATGCTGCCTTGGAACAGCTGCCAACACCCTGCTCAAGGATTCACCATATCTGCAACATAAAACCAAATGACTACAACAATTGTTTGTGGTTTACAAACAAAAGGAGTGTGGAGAATACCCAATCAGATCTGAAAAAGAAAAACAAGGCAAGAGGAAGATAATATCAATCAAATGGCAAATGAAGCATTAGTTGAGGAATTGCATCTCTACCCAACAACAACAAGAATTTGGCCTGAAGTTGGACAATTTAGATTTCACAGGAAGTTGGAATCCTAATGACATTATCAAATGGATACATAAGTTAGAGTTAGTTTTCAAGTACAACAAATAGTTTCGTGATAGCAGGATAAAGCCTATGGCAATCAAATTGAAGAGAAGCAACTCCATATGAGAAATAATTTTAAAAAAGCAGCAAATAAAAGTGGGGAAAACTGATGCAACGCAACCACCATTTGTAACAAACAGGCCAATTATAAGGGTTATGACCAGAGGAAACAAAAATGCATAGCCTTGCAATTGTTAATAAATAAACTTATTATCATATCATTGATCTTTCTATTCTTTCCGCGGCATCACCGGCATTTGCAACAAAAAGACCAATTATAAGGGTTATGACCAGAGGAACAAAAAATAGATAGCATTGCTATGATTAAGAAGAAAACTTATTATCATATCATTGATCATTCTATTCTTTATATTAATATTAAGAAGAAAAGTGGGAAAAAGAAGGATTCTTGATTTCACTTTTAATCACTTTTTGTGGGTAATTTTATGTCAAATGCATGCAAGATGTACGCAAAGCCCCATCATTAGTCTTTCTTGAATTTTTTTTATCACATTTGGGGTTACAACATGATGGGAGCCACATCTGAGCTTCTCCCAAGATTCAAAGCTTGAAGAGAGAGAAAACACTAGCCGAAGGAAAAAAAAAAAGAGAAAGTGGACAGCTAAGAGGATAGAGATAAATAAATATTATGTTCCAATGGATATTAAATGACCTTAATAATGCAAGCCTTATAAATATTCATAAAATTCTATGTTGTTTGACATCATTTAGTAAATAGATATTTAAAATTATTCTCTTCTCAAACTTAGCTTGGTAGCCGGTTCGTCCATTGCTTCTTTGGGTGTGGTTAAGAGTGATGCCCTTTTATTTATGAGAATGACGTGATCATCCAATTACTTGTTGATAATGCCCTTGTGTCGCTTGTGTTTCTCATCCAAGGACTCTCCAAAGCTGCATAACTTCATATATTAGCACATGGGATAATATGATGAAACCTATATAGCAGAGATATTTGCCATATCACCCTTGGGTATAAGCCAAGAAGACAATATCAAAATTTTAGTGTGAAGGAGGACATTGAAGATTTTGAAAAAGGTTGAATCTCAAAGACTCTATTGATTCTAAGCCTACAGTGGAGCGAGTTTCAAGCTCAGAGAAGACTAACTTGATCACAAGATCAAGCATGTGTCAAACAAGTTGGAGAAAGCACCTCCATATAAGAGGAAGATATGAAAAGAAGCTATAACTACCAGGGAAAAAACAAGATTACCGCATGCCAAAATATGAAAAAAGAATTGCAACATACGTATTTGACAAATTGCTGGACAAAAAGATTTCATTAAATTGCCGAGTTTTAGACAAAAGAAATTAATTGTCAAAGAATTTGTTATCGAGTTCACACAAATCATGTTGAAATGCAATATCATCAAACATGAATAATGCAAGATTTTTAACAATTCCTAGAAATTTATGTCAAATTTATCACAAGTATGTTCAACTCCAGCAACGTTGGAAGCTCCATGGTGTGGTCAAGATCCCTCCCTAAACTAAAATTACAAACCTCCCAGCAAATTTCACAAGTTTAACTTTAATACAACAAACCAATTTTATAACAATCCATAAAAAGGCATTAAAAAAAGCAATGAAATAGAAACAGGAGAATGCCTATTTTATTAATTATTCTCTAAAGATAAATTAAAAACTTCAAAAATAACCAAATCGTGGATTAATATTTGGTTCATTGCATTTGTTGGGGTGCCATGTTATTAAGAGATGTCACTTGTTTGCTTTGTTGACAACACTAAATCACAAATTTATAAATGGATTTTTTGGCAGTAATTGAGTGGCATATTGACGTCACTAAAACCTAAGAAATTTTATAATTGAACCTTATGCCCTACTATTGGGACATCTAGATACAGCCCAGAGATCTCATTATCATTGAGTTCTAGCATCTAGTTCCAATACTCCACTCTATATTGAGTCATTACTAAATTTCATAACTTTATGAATTTTTTTTATTGTTTGATCTACAGTTGGAAGGTGCTTTATATTCCTCTTATGGGAAAATTTATTACTGAAAATGAGAGGAAAAAATAAGTATTCCAAACGGTTATAGAGTAAGTTAGAAAGGTTGTTCTTTTGCCAAGGAATGATGAGATTGTCTTGAGCTTACATCAATTTCTTGTGGTCTGAATACAAGTTTTTACCACAGAAGTATTGGATTCCGATGACAAATCAAAACAAAAAGTAACAATTCCGTTGACACTGAACCTCCTACGGTGAAAATATTGAATCAAGCATATAGCATTCCACAGATAACTGTGACGTTTAAGATAACAGAAACACTTTGAATGTCACAACACCAAAAAACCTTGAAGCTGAAGCAGCCATTACTTAAATTTGACTGCGAGTCTGGACGGAAATAAATTCAAGAAGACGAACAGCCGGGATGGCAAGATCAAAATAACAATGATGTTGGAGCGAACAACCAGCAATTAAAAAAACACACCATAATTTAAGTAACATTTCAATCGAGATAGCAATGGAATTCAAATAACAATGAAACAAACAGTCCCTGAGTCCAACTCTAACACGTCAATCAGCTAAAATCAATAAATTATCCACCGCCAATTTACTGTGAGCTACTTTTAGTTTGCCTTAAAACATTGTTTGCTATGTTAAACAGCACAAACATTCGAATGAAAAGAGAATTCTTCCACATACCCTTGAATGCCCCTTCAGCACGATCTCGTTGCTAAGAGGAATTCGAATGTTATCATTCGGTGGCGAGTCATCCAAGTCGGAATCTGATCCATCATCCGAAGCACCATTTCGTGGCCGCGGAGGCCCGATCATCTCCTCCTCATCCTCCTCCGCATCGAGTGCATCGGACGACGACGGAGGCGGCCGGCGCGGGCCCATCACCCC